GCAACTTTATCGTTGAGTTTGTGGCAAAAACATTATTGAGTCGAAAGTTTATACAACAAACATCACAACACATGCTCCAACATGATCTCTCTCGTGTGTCCTTGTTCACACACATCAAAGTCAGAGAAATCTTCGTTGATCAGCTAGTCCAGTGTGAGGCCCGTGACCAGGTGGTGTTGGGATACTGATCGTCAAGCACCTGCTTCCAAGTTTGCTCAAGAACAGCGTATCTGTGTGTGACGGCATTAACTGCAGTCATTGCTGGGTCTAGGAGGCCTCATCTGAAGATGTCTTCGACGAGGTGGTAGTAGTGATGGCCAGAAGGATGCTGCGATTGCTTGGTGTGTTGTGCGGGCATTTTTGTAGTTCTCGCACTTTAGCTTATTCAGTTTATCTGACCGCATATCCGGTCAGATATGCTAGAGCAAGGACGTTGTCTTTATGTTCTTAAAGTTCTTCGATAACCACTATATTCTAGCTGGGGCACGACGTGTTACCTTGTTTCTTTTTTCATTTCCTTCCATTTCTCGTCCGCGCACCTACAAAAATAAAGGCCCTTGGTATAAATAATAGCGACTCGCCATTGAATGCTACACTTCACAATTATCGCGTATTCACACAATCCTTTTATCACTATTCTGTTGAAACCGCGCAATAGGGAGTTTTAGCAGATCGTTTCGGTATCTCCGATAACAATACCCGATACTCCGCCGACGCCTTTGCGCATGTATCGTATGGTTAGAGAGTTTTAATTAGGGATGTCGCGAACCACCCTAGGTTCGATTTCGAAAGGTTTCGATATTTGCGAAGCGAACTAAGGTTCGATTTCGAAAAATTTCGTTATTTTCGTACCGACCGAGGTTCGATTTCGAAAAATTCGCAACTTTTGTCCACAGCGGAGTTTCGAATTCGAAAATTTCGAAGCTTTCACGGTTTCTAAAATTTCGAATTCGAATATTTCGAATATTTTTTTACTTCAGGGTCGATAAATTCGAAGATTTCGAAATTCTTTGTAAAAAAAATTCGAAAACTTCGAACGCTTCTAATTTTTATTGACATGAAGTTCGAACAATTCGAATATTTCGAATTTCTTTTGGCTTAAAGTTCGAAAAGTTCGAAAGTTTCGATTCTCTTTTAACGCTACATTAAAAAAAAAAAAAAAACAACTTCGAAGATTTTGAATTTTTTTCTAATCCAAGTTTTCAAAGTTTGAAGTCCGATTTTCAAGTTTTTCTACAGTTTCAGTTTGAAATAACGTTTTCACGACTCGCTTGTTTTCACAAAATCAAGTTTAGAAAAGTTAGGGTGTGATACCTAGATTCTGCGAAGTTGGTAAGGCAATTAAATGAGACGACGAGTGTCCCGGACGTGCTAGAATATTTGCCAGTGCAAAATTGTGACCGCCAGCCCCCCCGGGGGGGGGGGGGGGGGGGGGGGGGTCTTTATCACGCAGTAGTGATTGCACGAAAACACTGTTTTACGAGACTCATCCAGTTCGAAACGGCCAGGGGCGAGCAGGAGGTTGAGGCTCAGAAAAACCTTAAAGCGACCTGGCAAACTAGCTCGCCACCCCTTGCACGCTGGTAGTAATCCGATCCGGTGAAGTTTATAATTGTCCTGGAGGTTTATTTTCTGGGACGGAGGAAACGCCTCGCAAAAAGCACAAAAGCCGACACAACTCGAGGTCGAGGAGCGTTCTACCATACAAGTGGCGTCGGAAGAGGAAAAACGGGGGGAAAGAGGGTAGCGGGGGGGGGGGGGGGGGGGGGGGGGGGGGCTTCAGCCTCCTTTTTTTCCTTGCAGGTATTTCGGACTGTTAAAGAAAACAATACGGGAAAAGAGGCCGTGGTCGAGCTTATTTTAATCTGAAATTATTTATGCATATGTATAGCTACTGTCGCTCTTCACTATACATAAAAGGTTGCGTAGATGGTCACTGTTAGAAACTCGTTGTCAGAAGGCACTGCTCGTCACATGCTTAGTGGTTCGGAAGTTCAAAGCTGTCTTTTCGACCTAAACACCTGTGCCGATAGTAACAAAAGAAAAAAAAAAAGAATAAATGCGGGAATAATAAGCAGGAGAAAAAAAAACTATCAAGAATTCGTCGGAAGTGTTCTATTCGTGCATATTCAGAGGTTCAGAACTTCGAAACAAGTTTCTTTTACCAAAATGTGTACAGGCTAAAAGAAACACGCCCCAGGAACGTGAAGCGAAAAAAAAAAAAAGTTTTCTTTTAATGACGTGCTGAACTTGAACACTACTAGAAATCTTCTGCAATGAGTTAATTTATTCCTTAACGTCAAAAAACAATAAATATATTATTTTGTATTCTGCAGATGGCAATGATATGTACTGCCTGTGGTGCTAATTTAAATGCGATACCTCAAACAACTTAGACGAAAATAAATATCAAGTTTAGGTCATAATTGCATGCAGATACATGTTTGGACATTTCTTCGAAACTCACGTTGAATAACAATAATCACATCTTAAGACGGCACTTACCTGTAGCTATACATAGATCATTCTTAAAAAAGTATAACATATCTACCATAAATAGCTCCGGCTGCAGCGTGCTTCAAATCTGGCACAAACGATAATCGTCAAAAACCCGTCGTGTCGTCCGTCCTCGCCCCTTCGGGGATTTATTTCTTTAAACCTAAGCATGCCAGAACATTGAAATAAATGACATTGTCTTTCGTAAGGAACGCAGCACCGCGTGTAAAAGTTGGAGAAAAAAAAAATTACGAATGTACCCCACTCCTTGAAATCAAATGAAACCGGCCGCCGGTCTTTCGAAGTTCGACGAACGTCGAACTTTTACCCTAAAAGTTCGAAGTTCGTCGAACTTCTGACTTTTCAGAATTCGAAAGTTCGAAACTTTTCGAATTTTCTTGATAAATAAGTTCGAAAGTTCGAAATTCATCGAATTTTTTTGGTCAGTCAAGTTCGAAAGTTCGACAAGCATCGAACCTTGCAGCGCAATAAGTTCGAAAGTTCGAAAAATATCGAATTTTTTAGCGTAATAAGTTCGACGGTTCGAAAAGCGTCGAACTTCTTAGCTTAACAAGTTCGAAAATTCGACCCCCGTCGAATTTTACGATATAGACAATTCGAAAAATCGAAATCTTTCGAACCTTTCAAACCGCTTGATTCGATCATCGAAACTTCGATTCGAAAAAAGTTCGCGGCATCCCTAGTTTTAATAGTTCCTTCAGATATCTTCGATAACCATCCCGATAACGATATGATGTATGAGTGTATTGGGTATCGTTATCGGAGATATTGGAAAGATCTAAAACTCTTTTTTAGCTGTTATCGTAATGAAACGTATAAGAACGATCTACTATAGAATTCTCTAATACCACTACGAACACAAGATATAGAATCGAAAATCGAGATTATTTACGTTCGTCCACTGGTAAACAAAGGTATTCTCGAGGAAGGAATATTATCCAAGAATTCCAGAGCACTTCATTGTTAGGAAAATCAAACACGTCCACTATAGGCCCCTTTTTGTAGTTACTAAGAACAGCGAGGCACACAGCATTTGCCAGTCGTGGCTCAATGGGCACTACGTCGCCGAATACAACAACCAGAACACTCACAAGCTGTTGAACGTTTCAGACAACGCGAACGAAAAAAAAAAAAGACGAAGCAAGATCAATTGTGTTTGGAGGGCGTGCTCTGGACACGCCGAAGCACGCCGATGCAGGCCGGCTCAATCTGCTGAGCAGGATCTATCTACAGGTTGTCCCCCCAATAAATTTACAAGGTCTTTTCCATCGCGAAAATTAACTACACGTCGCCGAATGCTCATACTCCACCCAAAAGTAGCGCTAGAGGTCTGAACGAGATGCCAAAGTTTCAACACTGCCTGTTATCTTATTCCAAAGTTATGCAGTGTACTGAAAATTTCAATGGAAAAATGGGGCACATTTTCGCCCGTTTTCGGTAACTGGCTCCATAAAGCTGGGATGCCCATTTCCCAATGAAAATTTAAAAAATCATTTAGCTTCGCATCTGGTACCGGACCTCTACCACTACATTTAGGTGGAGAATCAGCGTTCGACGATGCATAGTTTATTTGCGCGCTGAAATAAACACCTTGTCAAATTTTTTGGGGGGACACCCTGTACAACATAGGCCGAGTGGCGATAACGTGTGCACAGATGATCGCGGGAGCCTCCCGTCCTTCCCGTCTAGGTGGCTTTGGGAGGATGGCCACGATCAAAATAAGAACAAAAACTAGGGAGAGTGCTACGTAGTACGTCACGTGATCTCTGCTATCGCGCGACTGCCCGCACCTGCATGCAGAAAAGGCGCTTTCTCGTGGCGGGGCGCACCGCGCGACGTTTTATGGACCGACCAGGGGCTCTAATCAGGACATTTGGCGAAAAAGTCGGCGAGGAAGTCGCCCGCCGTGATTAGACTTCGCCAAGGTGAAGCGCGGCGCCGGCCAATCACGGCTGTAGGATTCCTCGCCGACTTTTTCGCCTAGTGTCCAGATTAGGACCCCAGATCCGAGCGATGCGGCACCGCGAGGCGCTTACGTCACAGTGACGTAGGGATGCCACTACGTTACAATGCCGTGGGAACACGCCGCGAGGCAGTTGCTTCGACGCCGCGAGGCCAGTGCCTCGCGTCACGTTTCCGTATGCAAAAGGTAATTAAGCTTCATCAGTTCGTGCGATGAATGCAGATCGTTCTGCGGCAATTTTCTTTTTATGGATCGGTCTTTTCCAAGGTATTTTTTCATCAAGTCTGATTGCACTTGGACGATTATCTCGAAAAGAAAGGCGAGGCACTACTGACCCGAAACACAAAATAACACCTCCATTTGCATAGGCATGCCAGCGGTGCTGTGTATGGAGTTTCCTTGTAAAGTGTAACAACTTTAGTTTCGATTTGGCAGAAATATGGGGCACCTAACTGCTTAAGTGAAATAATTTCCATTAGCGTCAAAGTATTTTTGATCTAGGAGAGCAGTAAATATAACGCTTTGTTTAAAATAAAGCTTTATTCAAGGAAAGAGACAACAGTGAAAGCTTACAAGTTGGGAAAAAACACGAAATAAGTTAAGAAACATTATTTTTACAATGCCCACAGGGCACTAGAAAGGCACGTAGATCACCGTCCCATAAATTTGAGTCGACTGGATGTCAACATGTAGTTTAGGAGACGTTACTCTAACTCTTGACCTTCTGTATCTAGGTGCGGTGCGAACCCGCATAAATAGATACAAGAGAGAGCCTCGAGCAGTATCTAATAAATAACTTACCCTAAAGCAAGAGATGTGTAAAAAGTATCTCTGCATTCTGTGACCTTTTCGCATCTGAGCCCGTCGAGTCTGGATCTACCACTTTTAAAATGGCCGGCTCTCTAAACAATGACCACAGTCAAAATAATTACCATAAGATAAACAAAAAAATAAGCATCTCCCTCTGATGCCGAAAGCGACAAATGTCACTGTTTTGCAAAAAGCTAACTTGCTTCTTTGGTACATATTGTACTTTCACATTGTTCTAACGAACTCTGCCTCGCGTAAATAATGTTAAATGTTAAAAAATATGTGACTAAAAAAAGTTACGACCTTTGTACACATATCTCCACAAATGTCGTGTATGCTTGAAAAAAAAATCCTTCGGTGGCGATTTGTATTCTATGCAGGTCCCCACCAACTAACTGCCAAATAAAAAGCAAAATGTGTTCAAAAATAGACGCGCACTCAGAAACCGTTTCAGCGAACAAGTTCAAGTAAGGCAACGAGCACATAAATATACACATGTGTTCTCATCCTAGCCATGAAGTAAGTGGGGAAGGCGAATATATTGGAGGCCTATTCCAGTATTCTTTGCAACAATCTACTGGCTAGTAATTTAAGTAACGTAGCTTAAAAAGTTAAGGACTTCCGTATAGCCCAATAAAATAATTCTTCTATGAAATAAAAATTAAGGAGAACAAAAGAAAAAGCATTTGAAAAACGTAGCCGTTTTCTTCATTTGCGTTGTGCATTTGTCCTACATGTAATCATAACTTATTCATAAATTAAACCGATATTGAACACTGAGGTATCTACATGTTCGCAGATGTTGCATATCTCACGTATCGCAAGCGGAATTTCACATCACATATTAAATGTGGAAGTCAGCTGTATCCGTTACTGTTTTTGCGCATGGTTATTTCGGGGACTAGATTCAGACACCTGTGATATTTTCCCTCCAAACATCACTCGCGGACGGTCCAAGGATGTGCGGTGAAACCAGCAAGGGACCGTGAACGCTTACGACCACGACATAGTCTTGAGTGCTTAAACAACTAAATTCCTTGAAGCTGAACCCTGTCCCTCTTCCGAATAAGCAGCATCTTGATGAACCAGGTGACTGCCAAAATCATGTTGGCAATGCATATCAGGTGGTAGAGGCCTTTGTATGCCCCTTGGTGGTCCCTGAAGTAACCTGAAAGTAAAATGACGGAACTTCACGCTCGGAACACCGATCCTAGGAGACGGAACACACTTATGTGAAAATCCTACGCACACGATAAAGTAATCAAGCGACGGCACTCTTGGGTAAAAAAACTACCGTATACATCTGTTAATATTTGTGTAGCACAAGCTCCGTCAAATGGTCAGATACTTTATTTTAGTGTGCGATGCGTACACCAGTTAGAGTCACGGAGACAATTTTCTGCAACGTCAATTAAACTGCTTTAGCGCTTGCTTCAATTATATTATTAATACGTTGCTATGATAGTATATATTATGCCTGTGTAGTTTTTCGTTCAGTGCAATCTTAAACAAGACGTTGGAGAAGCGTGGACGCATACTACGTAATTCTCTTTTTTTTTAAGTCGAGCAATTAACTTTGTTTGATAACGAAGATGCAGGTACGCTTAAAACGCATGTATGTGGCCTATCAGAGACAAGAGAGTTGCCAGTACTATATAAAATGTATATAACTCCTAACCCAACATTTAAACAAAATGCGAAATGGGAAACAGCCGCAGTTTCTGTGGAGGTCAAGGCGCATTTGGATCTCACGTTTTGCTTCTTTTATTAGTTGTCCTTCATGAAACGTACCCCTTCTGTTGCCCTTCCTACCATATTTCATTTCCCCGTAGAACTGCACGTTAAATGTATTATTGTATACGAATCGCCGTCGATCAAATGTATGGGAATCGTTTTTATTTATCTGGATGGAAGAAATATAGACACCTATTTGACGCTTGTTTTTTGAAGGCCAATTTGTCTCGAAACAGAAGTGTAAAATTATTACAGTCGTGTTTTTATTACTAATGTCGTACTTACGCTATTGGAAATGTGGCGTAATAAACTATGCTCGTTCAACAATGTGTACGTCACTTAAAATAATTTATTCAGGAAAATTGACCAAAATCTGCGTAATGATTTTTAATATCAATAATTTTGTACAATTCGAAATAAGCGTCAAAATGTGTAGCGAATATCTTAAAAAAAAAGAAAAGAAAAAAAAAAAACGCTGAGGACTGAAGCGGCTAGCACACGTTGACCAATAGTAGCCAATTATTAAAGTAATTGGCAAACGCTTAATTAAAGAAAGGCTTATACTTACCGATTACGAAGGGCCGTATCAGCGTTAATACGCCACAGATGCAAGTGGACACGCTGAGGTTCACTGAGAGTCCTCGCAATCCAAAACTTCTTGTGAGAAATATTGGCAGCAGAAAGATCCTGGTACCATGGCTCACTCCAATGCCCAGAGTAAGGATGAGCAGATTGAAGTAGCTCTTCATGTAGCACATGCACTCGTACGATATTCCCTGGACCACATAAGCTAGAGCCACAAGAAACTCCAGATGAATCGATCCCCTGTCAGCTATGAGACCAGTGATCACACGAGACAACATGTCACCAACGCAGAAAGACGTCATGAAGTAGACAGCGTCGTGCGCTCCAATTCCGCAATCATTAGCAAAGTCCACAATGGTGATGAGGAACACTCCCAGCCCAAACTGGACCATGAACTGAGACAGGGTCAGATGCCAGAAAGAAATGGTGAGAAATGTCTTCATGGCTTTCCAGAACTTTTGTTTCTTGTTGATGTTGTCGTCTGTGTCCGAGTCTTGGTTCTCTCCGGATGTGTTCTTCACTTGAAAGTGCTTCGAGTACGGCTGCCCTATACTTGAGTCAACTCGCTCGAGGGGTTTACAAAGCGTGTACCCGGTGGGAATGGACATCATAGGAACCACAGTGAGCCTGTTGTCAATAGCAGGGGGCGCCGGAGTGCGAATGAGCAGCTGGTGGGCTTGACGAACCTGACCGAGTCTTTCAGGAGAGTAATCTCTGTCATCCTTGTAGATAACATCTTCCCTCTGGCATTCGATGACGCTGCCTTGGTTCGAGTCCCCTTTACGAGAGAGAACTTCTTCCGAAACTCCGGGACGCAACTTGACCGGCGCTAGACTTGTGCGATGGATGACGGGCATCATCTCCATGTGGGTCTCGCTTTCGGACGTAGTGATACCGCCACCCTCGCTGAAAAAGTATCTCACGGAGCTGGACAAGTGCCTGGACGCCTCTAGATGCCCTTCCTCGTCTGAGGAGTCGCTGTTGTCTTCGCTAAAGTGGGTGATCCAGCTGGCGAGGCCCTTGTTAGCTACGTTAGCGCGCGTGAAGATGCTCTTGCGACGCTTAGAGTAGTCCACCGGATTCACGATGAGCCAACTCGGCGAGCGTACCAGGAAACCAAAGGCCATCGAGTTCAGGATGCAAGCTCCGAGCAGCAGAAACGTCCAGTGTAGGTCGTAGTTTGCGATCCAGAACTCGCAGAGTGGAGGGAAGATGAGGCTGTTGAGGCCCGAGATGGCAGACACGACGCCGGCTGCCGTACCGCGCCGGCGGATGAAGTGCTGATTCACGCAGACCTGGGTCATTAGTACAGCTCCACAGGTGGCTGCACCTGAAAACAAAAACCGAAACAAGATGCGAATGTATAAATTTTAGTTGTCTTTATTTAAATGAACTTGGATCCGCTACACTTGTCCAGATGCTCCCACATAACGCATGTTTAAAAGGAGAAGTAAAGACATGGGCACCGCTCAAACTCGTTAAGGGTCTACCTTGTCACCGAGAGGCAGACAGAGCCATCTTCTTAATATCTGTATAATTATTTAATTTATTGCTTTGAGTTCACTGTCAGTACTCTAGATAAAACCGGAAACGAAGCGGGTGAAGAATATGTCCTCTATTTAAAGACACGGAATGACAAAAATTCACAAAAACAGATTGCAGCCTCGTTGGTGTCGATTACGCAGAACACTTATAATCTACACCAATTTAATGCGTACCATATAGTTTTCTGCGTAAACAAGCGTCGGTATGTTCGAACGTATTCGAAATTTCACGGGTAGTGACGCCACCCAGCAAAGGAAGAAAACAACGTGAAGGAGAGGAACGACAAGCTCCCTCTCGAAGTCTACAGCGAAAACTGACAAAACCCTGCGGTCAAAATGCGAAAATAAAAGAAAGCAGGTGCAAAGGGTTGGAGCTGACAATAGCATATATCGGGTGCATATTTCAGCTCGGTTGTAGTTGCTGTTTGTTTTAGAGCGCAGCTCTTAGGCGCCCGTTTCCGGCTTGAGCGGCATCGCCGTCGGCGTCGGCGTAACCGCGCGCAACCCTTGTAACCCTCGTGAGGGTTACGAGGGTTACTCTCACGAGGGTTACGAGGATTTGTTACCCTCAAAAGGGTTACCCTCACGAGGGCCACGAGGGTTATGAGAGTTACCCTCATGAGGGTCACGAGGGTTACCGTCACAAGGTTTACTAGGGTTACCCTCACGAGGTTTACCCTCACGAGGGTCATGAGGGTTATCCCCCTGAGGTCACGTGACCCCCCTGATGTCACGTGACCCCCCTGAAGTCACCTGACCACAGAGAGTCACCTATCCCTCAGTACCCTTCTATCCTCCTCCTTAAAGCGGCGGTGCGACGATATTCAATCGGAATGTTTTTCACTTTACACGAGCTTACTGGCACTAATGGGACTCAAGGATACTCGCACGCAACGCCACTGACCAAGCAACTCCTTTGTTGCGCCGTAATTTCAAGGATAAAACCGCGTGTTTTCATTCAATCTCTCCTTCGTAAAACCTGATGACGTAGCTGGGCGGTAGCAGTACCGCCCAGTGACGATATTTGAATGCGGCTCATAGGTTGGACCCGAGCATGGCGTGGACATTCGATTTGGGCTCGTGATAATCGATAGCTCGAGAAGCATTCGGGTTGTGCCCTGTGTCCAATCGCTGCAATGACGACAACAGCCGAACCATAACAATGTCTAGAACTCAGCGCGTGTCTTGTGCCTTGCCAACCCCAGCGCGTGGCTATGATCAACATTGGCGGCATATAATCGGCTCCAGATCACGTGGCCGCTTGTTCTGGCTGCGAGTTGAGGGAGTGAACTCTGGTCGTTTTTCTTCATTTTTTTCTGCGACTTCAATTGCGTGTGGTGAAAAACGAACGGGTATTTCACAGGTCACTAACGTCAGGGATCCGTTCTAAGCGGTATTTGCGCGAAATACAAAAATCGTTTCATCGCCCCTTTAAGAGCTGCGCTCGCTCTAATCCGGCGTTACAGGGAGTTGTAAACGGCTTTCATTTTTTCATGGCAGTGATGGGCCGGTTGTATTATTTTTGATTCTATCTTCAAGAAGAGTTATTAGATAAAGGATAAAAAAGATGACAACAAAGCGTGGTATATATAACGTTGTTATTGACATTATATACAAAATATTAATAATGTATCTACACAACTTTATATCTAATGGTGTATAATAGCCAGGAATGACTGTATGTTTTCGAAGGAGTCATATTTGAAGCCCAAAAAGTTGGGAGAAAGCCCTCTCGTCCATAAACGTAAAAGCGATGAAAGGAATTCAATTAGGGTTTCCTGTGGCAGATGCGTTCTGTAACAAGGAACTCAAGCAAGTGTAAACCAGGAAGGGATTGAAGTGGGGAACTTTCGAATAGCAGCAACGTTTAGTGTAGAGCCTGAGAATACTTTAATATTTATGGCATTCTGACAACAGCTCGAACAAAAACGACAGCCTTATGAAAATGGTCCGTGCACTATCGCGAGAAAATATTTTATCATTGATCTACAATAAAAACAACAAAGAACTTTTTTTTTTCACGGCGCCGTTTGGGTTGACAAGCGAGAGAGAGAGAGGTGCGTTCCCCTCTTCGGCTTTCTGAGACGCAACTACTGCTGCCAGATGCACGACGCGCTGAAAATAACACGAGCATTTTATCTGGGGTCATTCTTGTACCCCGCCACTGTACACGGGGGCTCTGTTTACGTTTGACTAACTGCTGTTGTTCGGCTAAGGCAAACAGTGTTCGATAACGGGAGTGATTGCGGTGGCTGTCGCACTCTGCAGAACCGTGTAGATTATTTTCGAGCTGTGGAAGAGAAAGCATACGGCTTACGATACCGGCGATTTCCCACGTTACCTTATCCAAAATTTGTTCAGCCATCTTAGCACTACAGCAAGCTGTCAATACTCGCAAGCGCGATCGAACAATGTCTGGAAACTATTTTTAAGCGATCTGAAATAGCTAGAATTTGTCCCGCGCCTCATTACGCATCGTTTGAAAGGCTCCCTGAAGAATACGAGAGTGGAGTTACGTCCGAGCATCGACTGTAACTGAATACGTTACGTGCGGAACCATAAAAATGATGACTTATATTAGAACCTTCTCCAAACATGCATAGATACGTTGATGTTACATAATTGGTTCCTTAAGCTAGTTTACAGGACACCACTGACTTGAGGGGTGTAAGAACTGATAATTGCGCAGCCGGAGTTGCTATTATTACTGTGGCGGCATGTTGCCAGCATTTCAATAAACTACGAGACAACGCCCGTGTAAGTTTGCTTGGACGTTTGTTTGTGTGAAACAAAGTTTCATCAGAATTTGTACGGAGTAAACGCTTGATCGTGATGCCTACAGGAATCTAGCAAATTTGCTTGCGGAAAACGACGATTTCAGGCGGGTACTAAGGCATTTTTCGTTCATCTCTTGATACTAATTAGAGCCCTATAACAAAACGAAGCAAAATTATACATAATTTAAAATCCAATTAATTTCTTGAAACTGGCGTATGCAATCCATGATTTGTGAGTAATGAACATCTATTGATGGATTTTCTCTCTTAGCAATACATGAAAACGTGATTCAGTTGCAATTATACGTGCCTTCGTCTAGAAGTGGTTATTTGCAATTATAATGACCAGATAACAAAACGGAAGTCATTAGAAATATGCGTTGCTTTAATAAAGTACTGAAAATTACCTTTTATTTCTTTATTTATTTAATGCGCCTTAAAGTACCCTTATATGGCATTGTATAAATGCAAAATGACTCTTCTTTGAGAACTACCTCATTTTATTAATGCCCAAGTGACAGCATATTTCTGCAGGGAGAGGCGTTGGCCACTCAATGTCTGTCGTGCATTCATTTACAGCGTTACATTTGCCACATTAAACTGTCAAAATGCATGTCAGAATATGACAACAAAGTTTTGAGTATGATACGAGTAAATTGTATTATTGGGCAACACAGTAGTGTTGTTTATGAGCTTTCTTATTATTATTTTGTTAATATGTATTTTTTTGTTAATGTTCAGTGATACTATTCTATTGTTCGAAACATTGCGCACCCTTCCCCCATTTATGTAGTGGCAAAACCGAGACCCTAAGGGCGAAATAAAAAAAAATATTGGTGATAGTATAGGAAATGGTACAATTTATTAAAATATCAAACTTTCAATTATTCTGAAAATGGCAAACACGAGTGGTGGTATCATATTCAGTAGACACAATATAATACACATTCTTTTTTCTCTCTCTTGGCAGTGTAAGACACTCCTGCTTTAGACGGGGCACTCTGTGCGCTCATCTGCGGGGCTATGGCTTTGACAGCTGTCCATTTGCGCGCCCGTGGTTGGCGGGTCTGGTGTAGTCTCGGCTCTTTCAAGACAGGCACTCAGTGAATTCTTTGCCTTTAAGTGACCTATGTGACCTTATAAAACGAAACTTGAGCGTTACAAGAATTAAAAAGAGTAGCGGTAATTACAATTAAATCTTTGCAATTACTAAATCTAACAAGAAACTACAAGTACAATTTCCTTCAGACGTACGTAACAGAATTACAGTCACTCGGCTTCAATAATGTAATAAACAGTAATTCAATTTCTGTTATTGATTTAGTGCTCAGGCAAGGGGATTAAAAAAAAAACTTCCAGTGACCTGCGCAGATACGTGTTTGCACTATTTAATCGAAATATTGCTGCGCACGTATAAATTTGCTGCTGCGTTATGTACTGAAGCAGCCATTTATTCCACTCGCTTTGCTCAAATATAAAACAAAAACACAATCTTACAATTGTAATAATAGCCTTTTTCAAAGTCGATGCGCCGTAAATTGCCAGTGAGTGTTTCTACACCCTTCAAATTTTTATTTGTTTTCGTTTAATGGCACCGCTTTCATACTTTTGCATAATTTAACTTTTTTATCTTGCCAGATTTACATTCGCAATATGCTACAAACGATGCGGCTGAAATTCTTCGGTGTACTCTTCCCACCTGTCGCCGCCAATATTGTATGCAAACCTTAGCAGTTTTTGACCTAGGAACCCATGTAGCCGAGGGAAAATATTATAGAGTGGATAGCTCCTTCCCCCCAAAATTACTTTTTCGTTTCGTTTTTTTCTTTCTCCGTTTCTCCTTTTCTCTTTGCCGATCTCGCGTTTCAGAAGAGAACGAAGTAAACGTAAAAAGTATGCCACGAGACAGGTGTAGCCATCTGAAGGAGTGGGCATCCTGTGTCGTCACGAGAGCAGAGAGGTGACAAAACTAAAATGGAGCTATAAGAGCTCACACCGAGGGTTGCTTTACAACGGAATATTGACCCTTTCCCGGTGCCGTTGCGTGACTACCTGTCACGCTGAACTTTACGCAAACTTTCTGATCCTTGCAAAATAGCGACCTGATTTTCTTCGCTCTCGGGTCTACATTTTGCACAAGCGAAACGTGGACGTCGATAGACATGGGTGCCAAAGTTTCCGTGGCGAAGCTCTGAAGTACCGCTCAGTACCAAGTTCTCTGCAAGCTTTATCTTTAATCTGAAACGAACGTCCGAATTTTGCTCCTCAAAACTAAAACCTCTTTCCTCTTCGCTCTTCCTTCAAGCTGAAGATCGGGGGATTTTTCATCTTTCTCTGGTGCAGGAGCGCGAGAAAACGTGAAGTTGGGAAGTCAGTTTTTATAAAACGCGTCACTCACCGTGGATGACTCCGAAGAGTAGAGATATGTAGAAAACGTCGCTGACGAAGTAGCAGAGGGCCACGGATAAAGAAGAAATGGCCGAGGACAAGAGGATGATGTTTCGGATGGGGAAGAACTTAGAGAGGAATCCGAAAGCCGGGGCTGCAAGACGAATGAGAACAGGTACGTAAGCAATATTTTTTTATTAATTTACTGGAATAAAAAACAAAATGAATTAGCTCTTAGAAGAATGCTGCAGTTTTTAAAAAAACGAAAAGCATCCTGACGTTAGGGAGCCCAGATTGGTGCGTCGGTGTCAAATTTGAAGCCTTATTGCCAGACGAATTTATCATTTAATTTCATTTATTTACCCTCTGAAGATAAAACATTATAGAGGGAGAATGGCTCGTCTGCCGTCGAACTGCGTCGTGTACTGCCTGTGGGGTGCCCAAATTCATCTGCTTGTTTTGCAGGCGTTGTGGTGACGTCAGAACGACGAGCTCTGATTGGAACTCACTAAAGCATAGAAGGTAGACTTTAAAGCAATCTGCTTTAAGGTGTACCCACTATCCTTCAAGCCGAGCCAATCCGAGCTCGGTGTTCTGACGTCACCACAACGCCTGCAAAACAAGCAGACGAACTTGCGCTCCGCATAAGCTCAAGAACTGCCGACGTGAAATTCAACAATAATGGCCAACGTTAAGTGAGAGATTGTCGTCTCGTTATACCCAGGTACTTGTGAAATAAAAGACAAAAGAGCGCCTGAGCACTGGGTGCAAACCACACAACCGTGCAAAAAGCATGCCATATGTTTTTAGCCTTTACCCCTGCACACGTCAAGTTGGAATGACGAAGATATTTAATATGTTTATGCTTGGTAATACTTTGCTAAAACGGCTTGTCTTAACGGTAAAGAAATAGTATTATAGATTTTTTAAGAGCCACGAGGAATACTGCTCCAAGCGGAAACGAAGGCAAATCTCAGAGTTAAGAAAGTTATCTCAATTTGCAACTGCGAAGATACCATACATTACTATTCAGATCAAAAGTGCGAGCATTATTTGCATGCAACGTTTCGCCGGGCATACGGTGATGAGCACCACTCTTTCCTCCAAAAAGCGAATGCAAAACAAACCATAAAAAAAAAAAAAATCTTGAAGAGCGGTATAATGTTTTGGATGAAGATGCAGAATTAATGCCTCGCATAGATTTGATTGCGTTATGTACACGTTTGGACCATTGCACAGAAAGCGTATGTTCACAACACACACAAAGAAGCAACAACAAATCTAACACATGTATTTATAGAGCCAAGAGCGCAAAGATGCCTACACAAATCAAATTATACGTGATAATATTTTGGGGTGACTTCGCTTTTGCTCGGATATTCATAATATCAGTACCTTTACACAGTTTTAGGGAGCAAAAGAGCATATGAATTGTGATATTCACTGAGCCTGCCTGATTCAGAGTATAGGGAGTATTCACTGGCGGCCATATCCGTGGGCGCTGCTGCTGAGCGCGTGCTTACGGCGAGCTTCAGCAGTCCCTTTGGAGCGTGCATTTTGCACCATCAAGGTTGCCGGTCTTAGCAGGCTATTAATGTGAGCTCGTTCCGAGCATGCGCTCTAAACATCGCCCTCAAATATGGCGTCCAGTGAATACCTCCTATTGACGCTTTAAAGGGTGTCGAGTTTTGCTCCTGCGCTTACGGCGCGTAGGCGTAGAGCAAGCGCACGTGATCACTCGCAGATACCGCGTGCTTCTGTCGGCGATGGCAGCGTAGCGGCACTGCGCCTAAACATTTACATCACAAGCAAACCGACAGAGCGTTGGGGCCAACAGATAAATCACGTCGTCGGTGCTGTTCGCGAATGCGGGTTTCTCTATCTGCTGAATGGGACAATGAGCGCGAGACGAGTCTGGGAAAAAACGACGTCGGCACTCGTGTTGTTCGCAACATACAACTGTCGAGCGAGGCGTCCTGCCGATCTGATTAATTCTTCACGCCGACGTTCATTAGTCCTCCGCCAAAATACGTCTACGCGCAGGCAGAGGCACCGCAAGGGGTCACGCAGAAATACTGCCATTGTCAACGAGTTAACGTACGTTTTAAATCTGAAACTGTCTCGATGATGTAGTTAGGTACTACATAAACAGTAATGAATAAAGAGATACCGTATTTAAAAAAAAGCTAACACCGCACCTTAAAAAAATAAAAAATATATGAGTACTTTCTCCTGTGAAACATAAAGACGGACAATCACGGCGAGCAATAAAGAGATGCCATCGAAGCTTAGAATAGTATTGGACCAGAAAAATGCCATGTGCGCAGTGGCAATGTACGTGATGTTTTACCTGCTCGTTGTCCCTGTGCACGTTGCATTTTTCAGCTAGCTCTAATCGTATTCTGAGCTCCGTCATTGACTGGGGTCCTAATGTTCTTCTGTGAATGGCTGCATGCGTGTTCTACAGGAAGGTTAACTCTCGTACTTTTCATGGTGTATGGTCCCTAGAGCTTGAATAGGCATGGCGTGGCCTATTCTTTTCAGGCTCCTTGGTTTGTGAGTGGTTCTTTGTCGTTCTTATCGGCTGATACCTGAATCTCATTGGCTGAAGAGGGATCAAGAACTGCCCAGGATTCGCCACTTATGCGTTTCCTAAACTGTCATTAACTGTACTCTAACTTGTTAAAAATGATCCAATGACTCTTGTTTATACGGTTTCAGTAAATCTTAAAATCACATTTCCTCGGAGAAACGTTTAAAACAAAATCATCGATGCAAAAAAAAAAAAGCACAGTGCAACTCAATATCATACGTATTAGAAGAAAACTGTGTGCTGATAATGAAATACTCCGAAACTAGTGCATTTAGCTTTGATGGCGACATTACATATTTAGAATATATAGACGTAAAGGAGACATGCTTGTAGTATAAATACCGGTTTTGTCGCCTAATATTTATCCTAGAACAAAATAAAAACAAAAAAAGCAGCGAAAACGCACGTGCCCCGTAAAACTAAGAGAGCGTGATTCCGGCGTGCTGCTTCATGTGCAGCCTCGTTCGCGGCGGAAAAGCGAGGATAACTGAATTATGCCCCGCACATGGCGTATCAGCTAGACGACGCGATCGCCGTTCCATCACACGGATTAAGATAGCGAGGTGTTTACCTTTTTCTTTCAACCATGTGCAGTGTACACCAGCTCGTTTGCGCCCTTACATTTTTTTATCTTTGTTGACGTTATTTATGGTGTATGAAATTCACGTACCTTATTAGCTCGAGCAATCGTCGCGCTGTTTATGATTAAAACCTGTGGGTCTGCTTTCCGGCGGAGCAGGGGAATAGCGAATCACGGCGACCGGCAGAAGTATGGCAGCGATTTACGGGGCAGAGGTAACGTCTTCACGCGAAAATGCGATCTGCTCAGATTGCAATTTCACGGATAATCGTGTTCTTGATCTCGTTATTCATGCGAAAGCATTAAGTGTCCCATACAGCGAAGCTGGCGTTGTCTTTAACCGTCCGTAGCCGCTAAACGGCAGTTAAATTCCCATTGGACAAAAGTACAGCAACAAAGATGCTTCGTCATGGAAGCCGGCGGGCGCTCAAGGTCAAAGGGAACGCGCCTCAGAAATAAAACACAAAGAAAAGCACTGCAACGCAGATGCATCGTCACGGAAGCCGTGGAGCCGGCGGTGTTTGCCGCGCATGCGCACTGGGGGAGCGTGACGCCACCGCCGCAGCGCCATGCGAAAAAAGACCTCACGCGCTGCTTGTAGGACTGCACTGCATGTAAGAATGCCCTCGCATTCCTACTCGTAAGCAGACGTAAGTGTCATTAGTGCGCGCTATAACTTTTTCGATGCGTTTCTTATGCATATTGCAAAGTAAACGCAGGGGCCTTGTTCATAAGAAGTGCGGCTATTACTCGAGCAAATACGGTAATTACACAGACTTCCGTGATAAGCTATACCTGAGCACGACAGTTTAAGGGAAAGCTAAGCGGTTATGTATTAGAGAAGAAACACTTAAATCGTCTCCCTTCGGCCTTTTGGGATCATGAATACCAAAATCGTCATCCAGATTGATGCGCCAATTATCAACAACAGCGCTTTCACATTAGCACTGAAGCCCCTCTCCAAGCAGCACGGATATTGGTCAAGTAATGGCCAATGTCTGGCGATGGTCTTTTGGCCAGTGGCCAGAGAGTGGCCATTCATTGGCCAATGCTTGGCCGATGGCTGATGGCCATTGGCCAATGGCCAGATAAAGGCCAGTCACCGGCCAGTCTCTGGCCACTGTCTGGCCACTTGGCCAAGGAGCATTGCCAGCCATTGGCCGATGACTGGCCAACTCTGTGCTGCTTGGGTCTACCGAAAGCCTTACCCGAGCTGTCAACAACGCTGCACGCGTTCTCTGTCAAGCGGCACGCCCAAGGCAGTTGAAACCTCTGGCTATGACTTCAAAACCAGAGGTTGGTTTTGCGGTTTCTCTCGCTTATATTGATACTTTCGGGTAAAATGCCCGTGATATTCAAATTCGCAAGACAAACACGCTAGAATTCACTTCTAATTCGTGTTTCTTGAAGTAGCTCTGTAGGTTCCCTTGAAGTAGCTCTGTAGGTTCCCGTCGTAAGTAGGAAATAGCACCTGCCAGGCAGCCACAAAACTAACATGGAGCTAGTCACGCAAAACATTAAAACGAAAGTTAAAAAAAAAAAAAGAAGACTTATTTGGCGATTTCGGCGCGACGTATTTATATCTCATGTCGGCATCATATGGCCCGGGCAGTTATAAGTGTTTTTTATTAATTGAGTTGTGGAACTTTGCCTCAGCGAGAAAGTTCTATCTTCTTGAGTACTTCATGGTTTGCTACCCTGCAAACTATACGAACAGAGACTGAGGAAGAGAAGGAAGCGAGAGGTGGCGGGGGCGTCCGAGCACCGAGGTCGGAGTGCAAGGGAGCTGGGCAGAGGCAAAGAATAGCTGCCTTTGTCTCTACTGCGGTGACTAGAACACGTGCCCGAATGGTGCGTTTACCCCGTCCAAAAACGCAGCCCCTCTATTTCCGCTTGATGACGTCATACAAGTGTCATGCTGTCGCCGTGGCTACCCTGGCGGCGTCCCATCAGCTGCGGTGTATATGGCAGACGCCTGTTC